GGTGGCTAACTGATCCAACTATATTAGTCAGTCCACAAAATCCAAATTAAACAAGGCGCATGCGCAAAATTAGTAATATAAAATGACGATTATCTATCTATCTATCTATCTAGCAATTTTCCAAGCGTAGCTTAGATGTAGCACAAGGCCGAAAGTATGGGGCACCCAGTGAGAATCGAAATCACTACTCAGTCGTAATTGTTCTAGCAAGAAAAGCTTGCTAACCATTACACCGTCTTGGGGTGTTTATAGTGATTTTCCAAGTGTAGCACAGATGTGGCACATGGCCGAATGTAAGGGGCACCCAGTGAGGATCAAACTCACTACCCAGTTGTAATTGTTCTAGCGAGACAAGCTTATTAACCATTACACCACCTCTAGGTGACTATCTATCTATCTATAAATGTAACGATAAGGAAAAGAGGATAAATTAAAACGTTCATAGCATTAATTTAAAAGAGGGTTCAATACCAAGAGTAGAGCAATAATTATTTATTATAAAAATGTTACATAAGGACAAACAAGTACTCATGACAAAGATGCATTTTTGTTTCGAACGCATCTTGACAGATGGTTAATATATTTGTTACTCCCCTTTCGGGAATCGTTTGCATCAAAACAAAAATGCATCTTTGTCGGAGTAGTTGTTTGTCCGTATGTAACATCTTTTATATTATATATATATATATATATATATATATATATATATATATATATATATATATATATAGTTAGTTTATAAAAAACTAGGTAATCCGTATGGGTAAACCTAAAGAGGATAAAATCAATGTAAATCCAGAGCAAATAATTTAAATAAAACAGACCACTTTAAGGTTCCATGTAATAAATTATTTCACACAGCCCTTTTTAAAGGACTGCGGATCATCAGACTTTACTTCCCAAAAAAACCTTTTTTTTTTTTTGGGAGAAAGTCTGATGATCCAGAACCCTTTAAAAGGGCTGTGGTGAAATAATTTATTACATGGAACCTTAAAGTGGTCTGTTTTTATTTAATATATATATATATATATATATAAGTAGATTTAATATATATATATATATATATATATATAGATAAACCTAAAGAGCCAGACTAACCTAACTAGGTTTCACCTACGCGGATCGTCAGGCCCAACTGGCTAAAGAGGTGCTATAAGAACAGAAAATATATAGCCTACAACACAAAAACATGACCATGAGACCAAAAAAGAAACAGTAACACAACGTTACGTTGAGAGAGAGAGAGAGAGAGAGAGAGAGGAGCTAATACCCTTGGGAAAGGTATGAATCCTCTTCTTCTACCTCCAGCTATGGCTAAATAGCAGGACAGGCTCTGAATTCAAAAACTGCGGAGGGTCGTTTGAGGACCTTGTGAACCAGGTCTCTGTATTCGGCCCTTCAAATCAACGGAAGGTATTAATCACTCCAGCTATGGGTAAATAGCTGGACAGACTGGGTTCTATAGCCTTTGATCCCAACTAGTCTAGGAGAAGAACAATTCCGAATTCAAAACCTGCACGTAGTGGACCAGGTCTCTGTATTCGGCCCTTCAAAAAGTGTGGATGGTTCTGCGCAAAACCTTCGTCACTATAATCAAATCTCATGTACTGGTGTCAGGCTGTCGATTGCTAGGAAATGATCTGCTTGGCTCTAATACGTCGAATTCGACGAAAGAGTCGAATATATATATAGCGTCCAAAACTAAGGGACAAAATTTTAAAACTTAATATTTGTTAGAAATAACAACTGTGAAAAGCTGAAATTTTGACAACTGGTAGTCGTTATCATCCATAATAACATATTAAAATTTGAATCATTTATTAAAGGATGATAAAAATTACCAGTTGTCAAAATTTTATAGCTTTTCACAGTTGTTATTTCAACAAATATTAAGTTTTAAAATTTTTCTAACAAAAGTTAAAGTTTTGACGCTACTGTATGTATATATATATATATATGGAATCTGGCACACCTTCGAAGTCACAAACCCACACCTCTGTGCTCGTCATGTTTTGGGTGAAGATGTTTTATTATCATGACCGATCCATTATTATATACCATATCTCCTCTCGTTTAAGGTACTAAAGTTTCAGGTTTTCGGCTGGAGTTTCCTTCTCCTGGCTAAATAACCTAGTTGTCTACAACAGCCTTTTTCCCCCTCTTCAAGTGAATGTCACGCAATTATACTGGGCCTGAACGGATCTAAGAGGAAGTCCAAGATGCAATCTCAAAAAAGTAATTAACTTGTTTAAAATTTTATAATAGAAAAATTGGATATTGGATTTTAATTTTAAAAGATTTGTTTAAATATTCAGTATTCATGTTTATCTTTATAATTAATGTTTATTTTTATAAATAATATTTTTAATTAATTTTACGTCTTGTACTATCTATCATAACTTTAAGTACATTTCACAATTAATGTATATTTATATTAATTTGTAATAATTTTCAATAATAACACTTGTCAACAAAAAAATTGAAATGGTGTCGAGACACAATAAATCTTTTTTAGGGGGCGTTGAATCTGAAAATGACAGTTTCCTTGGTTAGCCACCGTTTTTGCTGTACAGTAATGCCTCACTTTTGGAAAAAAAAAAGCTTTTTTCTTGATTTGCTTTCTGTATATAAGATTTTGACCCATGGCAATATTTCTCAAAATAAAATCGTAGACGCCTCTCAATTCGTATTTAAACTAACAAATATTTGTCTGCTTATTGAGAAATACTATTTTTGTAATAAGAATCAGACCCTAAGTCTTTAAAAATAACACGATTGAATATACCAAGACTAACAACCATTTTCATCAAATCATTTACTAAACTAACAGCAGAAATAAAACATTCGTGAACATAAGAATTATGCTAAATATTTTCCCTTTCTTGATTGTCTGCCATGTTCAATGTTATTTAAATCCCTTTTGATGCTCCAGCAGGATCATGTACAATGGAATAGGTGGATTCAATTGGGATGTCTTTAGTTGGAATTTCTTTCCAACTGTGAAAACAAAATGCTCTCAATTTGCTTGCTTTTCTTCCGTAGTGATGGGATAAATTTATGAGCATCAAACAGAAGATTTTAGGGTTTTTCATTTTTTTTTTTTGATGTCACCTTAATTATCAGGTTTACTAAAGTTTATCAGTTAGTTTAAATTTTGTCGATAAAATAGCAAATTTCGGTACTTCTATTTTAAAATTTTTGACTCAGAAACACTTTTTTCTTAAAAATAGTTTATTTCAGGTGGCTGACATAAATTGCTCGGCCTATCTGAAAATTGATGGGTTCCGACGAGCTTTATTAATCAAATTTTGCGATCAGCCAAGATCATAAATTGATCTTTTTTCCAAAAATGAGCAATTTCAGTACAGCAAAAAATGGTAGCTAACCATGAAAAACTAAGATCATTTTTCGGAATCAGCACCATCAAATTAGATTAGCTAAAAAACGGGTTTTGTTACTTGGCACCAAAAATCGTGCTGACCAGTGAAATTAATCCGAATTAATTTTCAGATTCGACACTGATTCTACATTATGGTGTGTTGATATTGATGTGGATAGTGTAATAGGGATTGATTCAGGGGAACTAAACACATAAGGGCGTGGTCGGGCTGGACTCCAGTCATGAGACTAAAAAGATTATACACTTTTCCTTCCATTTTTATTATTGCTCTCTTTATCAAAATGCACTTAAATAACACATGTGTGCCACTACCGGTCCGCGAAAAGATTGTCCATTATGAAAACTTGGCTGAATTATTTTAACAATAGTCTCGATACTTTTTGATCAGAACTCGTAAATTGCATTAGCTCAGTGGTTCCAAAATGATGCGCCGCGCCTCATAGGTGCGCCGGAAGAGGGTAGCAGGTGAGGCGGAAGAGGATAGCAGGCGAGGCGGAAGAGGGTAGCAGGTGCGGCAGAAGAGGGTAACAGATGAGGCGGAAGAGGATAGCAGGTGAAGCGGAAGAGGGTAGCAGGCGAGGCGGAAGAGGATAGCAGGTGAGGCGGAAGAGGATAGCAGGTGAAGCGGAAGAGGGTAGCAGGCGAGGCTGAAGAGGGTAGCATGTGCGGCAGAAGAGGGTAATAGGTGAGGCGGAAGAGAATATCAGGTGCGGCAATAGAGGATAGGAGGTAAGGCAGAAGAGGGAAGCAGGTGAGGCGGAAGAGGGTAGCAGGTGAGGCAGAAGAGGGAAGCAGGTGAGGCGGAAGAGGGTTGCAGGTGAGGCGGAAGAGGGTAGCAGCTGAAGCGGAAGAGGGAAGCAGGTGAGGCGGAAGAGGGTAGCAGGTGCGGCAGAAGAGGGTAGCAGGTGAGGCGGAAGAGAATAGCAGGTGCGGCAATAGAGGATAGCAGGTAAGGCGGAATGATTGAAACACAATCAAAGATTTAGAAAATGTTTAAAAAATTTCATGTCAAAAATAAATATGATTTAAAAATTTTAAATATTATTATGGAATACTTGTAATTGCATGAATAAGTCCCAGTATAAATAGTTATAAATAATTATTGACCGATTTTATCATTGTTGTACTTTTACATTCTATCAAGTATTAAGAATACAGTAACTAGGGTTCGTAAATTGGAGGAGAGAGTTATCAATGATAATGTTCTGACGTTTGATCTGCTATTATTTCCTTTTAACCCTCTTCCTGTTTTTTTTAATTTATTTTTAAATGTACTTTTAATCGCATAAAATATGGTGAGTCACAAGAAAATTGCCATTCTGAAAACGCGCCCTAGAAAAAAAAATATCTGGGAATCACTAACCTCACTGGATTGAGTCTTAGAGGTCTGTGTGCCTCATAACAGTGGAACTGAAAATATATTACTGAATTTTTTTTTTTTTTAAGGCAATACAAAATAATCTATCAGATTTATGTTTCAATGTTCTTATGGCATATTCTACTTTCGGTAGATTCTGTTGCCGCATTACTAATTATGATGTCTGAATTTAAAACTGCCATCTGATTACCCCAATAATGTAATCACTTTTTTATTGAAGGTATGTGCTTTTATTTTTCTTTCATGTGCCGTCATGATGTTGCCTCTCTACAGCTTCTTCAAACTTATATCTCCAAGCAAATGTTGACTGTTTGCTATCTACTCATTTAAATTTCGTTGGTAGGTTACTGATTGGTTCTCTCTGTTGCTCCGTATTCCAATGTCTTAAAATTGTTAAACGCTTACCTCATAATGTGTCCCAGATATGTCCACTGCCTTCTAATTCTTATTTTTAGAACTTCCCCTTGGCTAACGTGTTCTGTCAATGTGTTCAAGATTTGCATCAAAAATTCAATTTTCATTTAACGTCGCATATAAGACTTACAGGAGAATGAATCCTCAAATACGAAGATATTTTGAGTCAAAATGTGAACGTACGTTTGGTTTACAAAATAGACAAAAAAAGGTAGATATAGGTTTGGCTTCAAGGTGAATCAAAGAGAGGTCCACAAAGTAGAGATTTGTCGCGCTTAAATTAGAGTCAAAACAGTAGACATTTGTTCATTTAAAAAAAAAAAATGGAGCAATCGTCTAACACTAAAGATACGTATTCGGTTTACACCAGTGTCAGAAATTGGTCAACATAGATTTGGTTTATACTAGAGACGAAAAGGTAAACATAGATTTCGCTTATTCAAGATTCAAGAGGGTAGACAAAGGTACGCTAAAAATAAAAATAAAAATATATTTGATTTTTTTAAAACATTTCACCCCAAGCAAGGTGGGTGTGCTACTAGCACGCAAGGAGTTACAAAGGGTTGAGAACAAGAGTAAAGAGGGGTGTTTGAGGGCAGGATATAGAGAAGGGCGGGGAACAAGATCAAGGCCTCTGAAGATGTCGATTGACATTACACTTGAATATTTGAAGATATAGTTATCAGGGAAGTAACTAAGAGGAATGGAGTTCCACATACGAAAAGTGCGAGAGAAGAAGCTGTTTGAGTAGAAGAGACGGTTAAATTTAACCGTTACGAGAGTTAAAAAGGTGGGACCGAAATGCCAATCTAGTAGCACGCTTAAATTCATGCACTCTGGGGATCAGCGGAATAATCTCGTCGAAACAACGGCCGTGAAAATGCTTGTAGAATAGACATAGGGAAGCCACGGCAAGTCTGTGAGAAAGTGACTGCAGACGAGATGCAATTACATTGCATATCCGTCTCTGGATTTTGTCGAGGACCTCAAGACGTACAGCGGGGACACCAGATCATATATGAGAGCAGTATTCCGTGCAAAGACAGGGGGTGATTTATAGATTTGAAAGATGGACTTAGACGAGAAAAAAATTCTCGCACGACCTCAGAGAATCCATATTATTTGCGGTAGATGAAGCTATTGATTCAACCAGAATCAAAAAAAAAGTTGACATAGTTCTGGTTTAAACCAGGGATAAAAATGCTGCTATAACTTTACATTATCGCCAAAAAGTTACACAGATATTCGCTTTACACTAGACTCAAAACGATGAATCAATGTCATGCTTACATCAGTGTAAATCGGTAGATATCAATCAGGTTTGCACGACAATGAAATAGTACACATACTAAGCAATTATTTGATTTATCAAGTTAGACAAATATAACATCGTCCTGGGTAAGACGTTAAACTACATCCGCGTCCTGGGTAAGACGATAAACTACATCCAGCAGCAAGGCCTCTGATTAGGAGGTTTTGAGGAGCGTGAAAACACCTCTTAATTGCTGGTGTTCCCAGGTCCACCCTTACCTGGGGTGGTAGCATCTGTTAGGGTCCCAGCGATGGGCAAATAGTTAATTATTACCAGCATAACTTTTTGAAAAAAATTATTACCAGCAATACAATTTTGAAGGAAAAATATTACCAGAAACAGATTTTTATCAAAACAAAATATTACCAGCAATAAAAAAATGTTGTCGGCATTAAATAACCCATTGAGGTTGATATGTCGTAATTAAATAATTAAACCAAACCAAATATAAGACGAATCGAAGAAGAACGAAGCAATTACAAAACTTGAAATATTCAGGAAGTGTTTTATAGAGGACAAAAATGGCGATACCAAAATCCGAACACGTATTAGAATAGAGAAAATTTTATTATTGGCGCCAACAATCTTAACAGCATTAGATATGCCGCTACTACAGTGTCGATCGCAGACATAGAAAGGAAACTATAAGAATTCCTACAGAAGGTCATAAAAGAAAGCAAGAAGAAGAAAAAAAACCAAAAAAAATAAGCATCAGTTGTAAGAAGACAGAATGTATGGTTGTTAGAAAAATAAAGAGCCCAAATGATCCCATTTTGAAGAAGTAGATCACGTGACCCCAAAGGAAATGTATATATGGGAATTAGCGTGACGTTTAATTGATCACTATTTCTACTCTATCCTCTATTCTCTATACGTATTACTATTTGGTGGTTACTATTCGAGTGAGGATTATCGAGCAAGTACTATTAGTGCGAGTGATATTCGAAGGCGTCTGACACCAGAATTGTTTAACGGCGTTACTATAGTTGTAACTGCGATTACAAAGTCTCTACTACAACGAGCATTTACGAAATTGACATTTACGAGTATTCGTTGACATCACAAAATCAACAACTTTTTGCAGCAAGTTCATTTTATTCTTACGACTGAAAAGTTCATAGGTTGACCAAGATACTCTCAGGGAATATAACCCAATGAGGTTTATTTTTCAACATACCCTCCCCCTTTGTGGTTGACACATTCTTGTATTGCAATGGGTGGATCCCATTGGTGTACAAGGTTTCATCTTGTTGGTTAAGTAGGAATTAGATCACCATTTCTATTCTATCTTCTATTACTATAAGGATCACTATTCTCTCTGCTACACGATTCTCTATAATGACCATTATTAGGTGGCTACTATTAGTGCGAGTTTTATTCGAAGGCGTCTGATACCAGTATTGTTCAACGCCGTTACTATAGTTGTATCTGCGATTACAAAGTGTCCACTACAACGAGCATTACGAAAGTGACTACGAGTATTCGTTGAAATCACAAAGAAGGTGTCATTAATTTACAGTTAAATTGTCTAGAAGTGACTAATTGTTATATAGGAATAGCGTTGGTACTGCCATCTGTGTTTCAACATAGAATGCAGGTGAACAAACACAGGTGATCTCATTATTAAACTATGTAGATCTCATGACCATAGAGAAAAGGTATATATAGAGGAATTCCCGTGACGTCTAATAGTGTTTGCTTACTCTAACCTATCCTCTATACTGTATAGATCATCATTTCTATTCTATCCTCTATTACTATACGGCTCACTATTCTCTTCTCTACACTATTTTCAATACTGATCACTACTCAGTGGCTACTATTCGAGCGAGTATTATCGAGAAAGTATTATTAGTGAGAGTGTTATTCAAAGGAATCTGACACAATCGACACAAAATATCTGTTATTTTTTATAGGATTTGACTTAAAGAACATTTGCTGCCTAAATACACAAATAATATATACGGTGGAGTAATGGATAGCGGTTTGGTTTGAGGAATCGGAGAGCCGAGTTCGAATTCCAGTCGAATCCATTACATTCACTTACGTGCTAATACCCTTGGGAAAAGTGTGAATCCTCTTCTTCTCCCTCCAGCTATGGGTAAATAGCAGGACAGACTGGGTTCTATAGCCTTGGATGGCAACTCGTCTATGAGAACGACTCTGAATTCAAAAACCTGCAGAGGGTTCTATGGCGGCCTTGTGGCACGTAGTGCACCAGGTCTCTGTATTCGGCCCTTCAAAAAGTGTGGATGGTCCTGCACAAAGCCTTCACAACTATAATCAAATCTCATGTGCTGGTGTCGGGCTGTCGGTTTCCTAGGAACTGATGTGCTTGACACTCATAAGTCGAATTCGACAGGAAAGTCGAGTATATATATATATATATATATATATATATATATATATATATATATATATATATATATATATTAAAATTGATTTATTTAAAACAATGCTCTGTAAATTTACATTGAGCACTATTTTGTAAAAATAAAAATATCTATAAGAACACCGGATTATATATCTTACTGTTCTTTCTTTATATATATATATATATATATATATATATATATATATATATATAAATATAAAAGGGAGGGAGAGAGGGATTGTGAAACGACTTAGCAGATGGAAGAAAATGTTGATGGAGATGCAGTGTGCCGCGGACAATTATTTGGTTGGATGAGAACTTTTTTCACTGTGTTATAGAGAAATAAATTGTCGCTGCCGACACTTGAGTTTGAACATAGATCGCCAGTGAGCAAACACAGGCGATCCCATTATTGAATTAGGTAGATCACGTGACCATAGAGGAAACGCATAAGTAGGAATTAGCATGATGTTTAAACAATTACCAATTGTATTCTGTCTTCTATTACTGTACGGATCACTATTCTTCTGTCTACACTATTCTCTATACAGATCCCTATTCGGTGGCTACTATTCGATTGAGTATTATCGAGCAAGTACTATTCGTACGAGTGCTATTCGAAGGCGTCTGACACCGGCATTGTTCAACGGCGTTACGATATTTGTATCGGCGATTATAAAGTGTCTACTACAACGGGTATTACGAAAGTGACAACGAGTGTTCGCTGACATCACAAAAGAATTACAAATTGGGGATGCCGAAATCAAGCAGATAAAAAAAGGATTATATATCTAGGAAGTGTTTTAACAGAGGACGGAAAATGTATAACCTAAATCCAAAGACGCATTCATATAGCGAAAGATGCCTTCCAAAAGTTAAGCGTAGCATCAAGAAACAGGAAAATCTCGTTAGAAACAAAGATAAGAGTACTTAACTGTTATATAATATCGGTCTTTCTGTTGCAGATCTTACTTAAGAATCTTTCGTCCTTTCTTTCTTCCTTTCTTTCTTTCTTTTGTCCTTTCTTTCTTTCTTTTGTCCTTTCCTTCTTTCGTCCTTTCTTTTGTCCTTTCTTTTGTCCTTTCTTTCTTTTGTCCTTTCTTTTGTCCTTTCTTTCTTTCTTTTGTCCTTTCTTTTGTCCTTTCTTTCTTTCTTTCTTTCTTCGTCTGTGATTTTGTCTTTTTCCCTTCATCATTCTTGTCGTTTCTTCTTTAATTTTTTCATACGTTTTTTTTATATCATTTTTATTTGTATTTAAGAGTACTTAACTGTTATATAATATTGGTCTTTCTATAACGGCAGTGAATGCTTCACATGATAATAATTCTACTTTTTATCTAAAGATCTATTGATCTATCAGATAGCGCTTTGTCAATTTATTGACTACTGATTAATAATTTATATTTTCTTTTAGTAATTGTGGCGTCTTAAAGGGAGTTATTGTAGAACGAGTTGAAATCTCATCAAATATATATTGGTGGTTGATGAAATGCCCTTATCTCGACTGAGTAAGACTTCAAATAAAAATGATTTGTAGCCAGAGATTTAGTGAAAGATGGCGCATATAATTCGTTAGAATTCTCCCATATGTATGTATAGCTGGCCACTCGTATTCGAGGATATACGTCTACTAGGACGGCTAGCCAATCCGTGTTGCAGACGCTTGCTCAGGCGCAGTTGTGTTTATTCAACACCCCCAGAGCCCACCTTATACTGGTTTATACTGCAACTCTGCTGAGCAGACCTTAGTTACAGTTTCTGTGAAAGAGCGTGTTATCTAACGTGATCAACAATTTGAACAAGACCAACACGCTCAATCCCTGTGTTGGTAAAGAAAAAGCAAAAGAAAAGAAATAATGAGTATCAATTTCCGGTACGAATAAGTCTGCAACAGATTCATCTCTCAACCGCAACACTTGTAGCTAAAATCCAGTTCAACGACCGTCCGACGTAACAATCCAACAGGCCACGTAGAGACGGCAAAATTGGGTCACACACCCAGCCTTCGCTTCTCGCCAACAAGAACGCCTCTGTCTCTCCCAAAAGACGGCTCGCTTTATACCGCCGTGGACCGACCATAATTTACATACGAATCTAGCCAACGAGATTTCGCGTTAGTCATCCGAGACCACCTATCATAAAACATGGGCGCCGCCATTTTGTTTCTTTTTTGCACGTCGAGCAACCGGACTTTATATTACGCACAGATTCGTGGACGTTTCCAAGGTAGGCCATTCTTTTCTTTCCTCGTTCGTCCAGTATTTCATTTTGCCAGGGACTGTTGCTACATTTGCGTAAGCGTCCACTATTCTGCTTACATATTACGCATGCCACTCGTTGCCTCTTGGAACGGCGAACTGTAGTCAGTTCAGCAGAACCCACAGACTGCTGCCTTTCAGTTCCGCTACAATCCCTCGGCCACGATGACTTGTGATTTCGTGCTAGCACAGCTATCGACGGGCCCAAGGTTTCCCTCTAGCCGATTTCACTGACAAGGCTTGGGTCAACACTTGGTATGGTTTTCAGTTACTTTCCAAATGTGGCGCACGCTGTGATCGACCCCTCCAGTCAGATGACTTCCTTCTCCTGACAAATCGACCATAGTGCGATTCGAACCCGGGTCTCATGATCAGAATGGCACTTTCTAATCACTCGTACGCCTGTGTATAAAGCTTCACACATGCACAGATGAAAGAATATGCACAGACTCACACATAATGATCCCAGTGAAGTCGTTGCGAGACAAATACCTAGTATTCACGCACAATTGTGAAACGAGTCCCCAGTTGGCCGTTACGAGACAACAATTCGTGCAACAAGAATCAATCTATTTGTCAGAATTTAGGGTGAAAATAATGTTAATCATGATTTTCTTATATCGATTTTTCTGACTTATTCTTTTTCTTTCCGAGGCGGTTCTTTGCTTTTTAGCTTTTTAATTAACTCCTTTGATTTTTTTTTCTTTATCTTTACATATTAGCTTTCCGCATTGGTCAATTCGACCTTATTCAATGATTTGATAGGGCTTGTCAATTACTCCCCACTTAACCCCATCTGCCACTCCCCAATTAATGTTGTTTTGAAATTCTTTTTCCATTTGCTTTATTCTTCTGAAAAGTAGTCTTCTACCTTCGTCTATTGCAGATCTTAATTAAGATTCTTTCTTTCTTTCTGTTATTTTACTTTGTGCGTGATTTCTTTGTTTTATTCTTTTTTTATCCAGTTATTCTTTCTTTCTTTCTTTCTTTCGTCTTTTTCACTTCCTTATTCTTGTCGCCCTTCGTTTTTAATTTTTTCATACGTTTTTCTTTTTTTTTATCATTTTTATTTATATTTTTAGGACTTTTTTATTTCCTTTTTAGTTATAAATTTTCTTTCTTTTTCCTTTCTTTCCTTTTTGTCTTTCTTTCGTTTCATTTTTCTTTCTTCTATTTTTCTTCGTTTCTTCAACACTATCATTTCTTCATTCTATGCTTTTTCATACATTACTTTCTTTGTTGAGATTGCTTTTCTTTCTACAGATTTATTTTTTGTCTTTCTTTCTCACTTTACAGATTTATTCTATCTTTTTCTTTCTTTCTTTTTTTATGCTTGATTTTCTCACCTTCTTCAATTTGTTCTTTCTTTCTTTCTTTACAGATTTATTGTATCTTTCTTTCTTTCTCTCTTAAGATTGCTTTTCTTCTTTCTTTCTTTCTTTCTTTTTTCTTTCTTTCTTTCTTTTTTTTCTTTCTTTTTTCTTTCTTTCTTTCTTTTTTTTCTTTCTTTTTTCTTTCTTTCTTTCTTTTTTCTTACTTTTTCTTTCTTTCTTTTTTTCTTTCTTTTTTTCTTTCTTTTTTTCTTTCTTTTTTTCTTTCTTTTTTTTCTTTCTTTCTTTCTTTACTTGCATTTTGTAATATTTTTTTTTGTCTCCTTCTTCGATCTTTTCCGAAGTGAATAAACTTGCCTGACCAATCACTCTCGAGGTTATCTTAGCGTTGTTGATCGGCAGCGCACGGCGAATGGCTGCGACAGAGGTTCGGCGTCGGGTCAGGGGTGAAGAGGATCAGTGCTTGTTTTATTACATGCCGAAGACGTTGCGGTGGGGCTATTCAGAGAAAACCTCATTAAAGCGGATGTCGATATTGCCCTCTCTTAATTCTACCATCCCTACCAAAAGTCCAACCCCAGTTCGGCAGTACCGACATCACCGCCTTTCACTCTGCAAGGAAGATGGGGACGGAGCCAAGCAGTGGGTGTCGGAGTTGACAATAACGAAAGTTCAATGAGCGCGGAGATTTATGTGTTTTTTTTTTTTTTTTTTTTTTTACGCCTTCGTCTGGTTGTCTGGATGAATGGTGGTGTGGAAACCCTGAAAGACTTTGGAGAGCAGACAAATACGATGCGGATAGGAGAGGACGTGTAAGTAAATTGATAGCGAGGTGAATCGGATCAGAATAAGAGTTATAAGATGAGTGTAGATAGGTACAGAGATTAGCATAGATAGATGGATAGATAGATGGATAGATAGATAGATAGATGAGATAGATGGGATAGATAGATTGATATGAACAGACTGGGATATAGATACATAAATATGTAACAGAACAGACTGGGATAGATGAATGGATGTAACAGCTTGGGATGAATGGAGAATGGGATAGATAGATAGATAGATAGAGAGAGAGATAGAGAGATATGAACAGACTGGGATATATATATATATATATATATATAGATAGATATGAACAGACTGGGATATATATATATATATAGATAGATAGATAGATAGATAGGAACGGGCTGAGATAGATAGATAGATAGATTGGCGTGAAAAAATATTTGGGCTATCTTGTTAAATTAATTACCTTATGTTAATTTTATCTAATGTTGCTTGAATTGTGCTTTTCTCAGTACATTTTATGATCTTTGATGGTCAGAAAACAACTTACTGCATTTTTGTTAATGTTGATGGAACCTTTTAAGCAGTGATGTTGAAAAGTCTATTTAAATATATTGGGCTCCCAGCGAATATTTCACGTTTCGAGACTATGGATTTTTTCAAAATTTTTGCAAGACGTGATCTTTATTATTACAGAAAGTACAAAACATTAAACTAAGAAGCTGGTAATTAGTATTACTGTCTTTGGCTCGAATCATTGTCTCAATTCGATGTGGCATTGAATGGAACGAGGTTCATATCTTTTCATTTGGAAGTTTTTTCTAGTTCTTTGCAGTAATTCCAAGGCTCTTGGAGGATTAGATGTATTCTTTGGAGCACTTGTTACTTTAGTAGGCATCATAATGGTTCAATTATATTGAGATAAAGACTTTCTGCGGATCAGTCTTCCAAAAGTTGAACATTCACATGACAACTTTTTGTTGGACGTGGTGTGTTTGGGTGTTGAGCCATCATACTGAAGAATTTCTTCATTTTCGTAGTAAGCCAGAAGATTAGACTATAATAACTCCTTTTGTATAGATCAGGGAGAATATAAGACTCAGATAAAAAATCAGAGATATTCTAAGGAAGAAAAGCTTATTTTAATGTATAAAACGCACGTGATTGTAGAGCAATAAAAACGAAGAGAAAAAAAAATGAAAAAGAGTTATTTTATTTACTTTTGTGATTCGGAAACATTATAGAATCTTGATATTGACCTTTGGTATACAAGACCACTAAATCGCTAATGCACATTGAGAAAACATTTTTTGAATAAAGTTCCCTCTATGCAATGCAGTAAAGCCACTAATATAAAATGATTACTGAGTATGAAAGAATTAATAAAAGAAATGAGTGGGAACTATAGAAGAATAATTCTGGCATGGCTTCCGCATGATTGCAAGAACTGTGAACAATATTAGTGGCTACTCAAAGCCGATCCTTTTATTCAATCCTATGTATAAATTCTGACCAATTGGGATTTGTTTAATTATTAACTATCCTCCAATCTGAGTGGCGTATTCCGTTTTGCCCTTAATCATTATTCGAAGAATTCATTCAAAATGGCGGTTATCTTTTTTAGCCATTAAGAAACGTAGTTTTCATTTTACTATGTAAATTAATTAACTATTGATATTTCGTCCAACCAGAGTGGCGTATTCCGTTTTGCCCTTAACCATTATTCGATGTATTCATTCAGAAAAGTGGCTGTCGTTTTTAGCCAATAAGAAACGTAGTTTTCATTTGACTATGTAAATTAAGTCACTATTGACGTTTCGTCCAATCAGAGTGGCGTAATCCATTTTGCCCTTAACCATTATTCAAAGTATTCATTCAGAAAAGTGGCTATCGCTTTTAGCCAATAAGAAACGTAGTTTTCATATGACTATGTATTAAAAAACATAAATAAATTAATTAAATGTAAGATAAAAGAAACATGGTTAACAAAGATTCATTAAATAAAATCTCTAGTTGAAAATGTAATAAAGATGAAAGAAATACTAGTTAAAAATTGATAATAATCGATAATCTTTTATGTAATAAAAGATATAGCAGATAATAAAATCAAGATGAAAGAAATATTAGTAAAAAATTAATCTAAAAAATCTAAAAAAAAACATAAGATTAAGATTTATTTTTTTATACTTTCAACACAAGCCTGGCAATAAAGTCACTTAGTTGCAAGGGATTGCTAGTGAATATGAGTAGATAACGATTGATATTACATTTACATTTTTAAATGTCAAAGTTAACTTGAAAGTATGGAGCCGGAAGTCAGTTCCACAAGCGAGAAGTTCGAGAAAAAAAACTGTTAGCATAGAACGTGCGGTTAGATCTAGCCAATTCCGCTGTAAACTGATGAGACCTTGCCGCCAATCTAGTACTGAGATTATTTTCATAAAATTTCGGTGCCATTGCGAAGAGACCATCTGAAAAATTACCATTAAAGTATTTATAGAGACCATACAGAGAAGCAAGTTTACGGTAGTTGGAAAGTGACTGATGTCAAAACGCAGGGTCAGGAGCAATAGTATTGCAGATTCTTTGGATATTATCAAGAATCTTTAAATATATAGATAGAGCACACGACCATATAGGCCAGCAATTTTCTAAGCATGAGTAAATGGTACAGATATATAAAATAGATTCTAGCGAGAAAAAATGTCTAGCTTTCCACAGGGAACCAACTTTCCTAAAAAGAAGCCTAGCATTTGATTGAATATAATCTTTCCTATTCGTATCAGCGGAAAAAGTTAGCCCGAGAATGAGTCATTCTCCTGGTGGTTATTATCACCCTTGCTAATGGAAGGTAAAAAAATAGCTTCTGTAAAAAAATTAAAAGCGAATATTCAATGCCTGTACGAATGGTAGACATACATGTGTAAGATAGATTCCGTTGAGAAAAATTGCCTAACACGACAGAGTGAACTAACTCTCTTAAACAACAAGCCTAACAATTGATTGAATATAATCTTTCCTATTCATATCAGCGGAAATCATTAGACTGCGAAGGTGTAATGAGTCACTCTCCTGATGGTTTGCATTAGTCTTACTGATGGAAAGTAAAAAAAGGTTCTCTAAAAAATTAAAGGCGAATATTCAATGCCAGTACAAATCGTAGACATAAATATGTAAAATAGATTCTGACGAGAAAAAAATGCTTATCACGAAACAGTGAACCAACCTTTTTCGCAGCATGCCTAGCAGTTGATTCAATATAATATTTCCCCTTCATATGAGCGGAAAAACTTTAGCACGCGAATGTTAACCCGAGAACGTTAGCTCGCGAAGACGCAATGAGATACTCATCTGGAGGTTAGCTGATGGAAGGCAAAAAGAAGGCGTTCTAGATCATTGATGGAAGGCAAAAAGAAGGCCTTCTAGATCATTGATGGAAGGCAAAAGGAAGGCGTTCTAGTCATTGATGGAAGGCAAAAGAAGGCGTTCTAGATCATTGATGGAAGGCAAAAATAAAAGGCCTTCTAGATCATTGATGGAAAGCAATAGAAAGGCGTTCTAGATCATTGATGGAAGGCAAAAAAAAGGCGTTCTAGATCATTGATGGAAGGCAAAAAAAGGCGTTCTATGTCATTGATGGAAGGCAATAAGAAGGCTTTCTAGAACATTGATGGAAGGCAAAAAGAATGCCTTCTAGATCTTTGGTGGAAGGCAAAAATGAAGGCATTCTAGATCATTGATGGAAGGCAAAAGGAAGGCTTTCTAGATCATTGATGGAAGGCAAAAAGAAGGTGTTCTATGTCATTGATGGAAGGCAAAAAGAAGGCCTTCTAGATCATTAAGAGAGAACATTTGTGTTTTGAAGGCGTTAAAATTAACAAACCATTCTTTTCCCCAGTTACTGAAGCTTTTTTGAGATCATATGCTATCTAAATAAATTTGACCGTATAAATAAAATTGAATAATATTTTGTTTGTTTGGTTTTAATTTCTTCGCGACCATCAGAGGTATTTCTTTCGAAATTGTGTAGTCCTCAAAAGAACTGTAGTTCTGAAAAGAACAGTTTGTGAGGAATCAAGGTCATTTTTTTCTGTGCTTATGGGCATCCACGATCTGAGAGTGGAAAGATTCCCCGTCGAACTCTTAGAACTCGCCATTGTCGTCGGTCTTATAGAACAGATGAAATTCTTTCTCTATCAATTTGGTGTACAGATCTGTGTAGTTGGTATCATCGGCGATATCTCTGTCTTCACCGTCGGTTTCTTGTAGCACCTCTGTTGAACGCCATTTCTGCATAAATTCCTCGTATAAGAAGCAACCTTCGGTGTCGTCGAGCTTGTTCGCGATGCGGTATGTTTTTTGGACGCTTTCACAGCAATACATGCAACCATCTCTTCTAATGTGTCGGCGTAATGTTTGAAACGGTAGGAAATGCATTTCTTATAATGTTATTTTGTTTATTATTGACTATTGGTTCAGTATCGCCGATTTCTTTTCCTATCATTTATCATGAAAGCATTTTTAACATTTGCCGATCATTTTATTCTTTTACCCTTTTCTTATTTATTGATTCTAGTAACAAGACGTATTGGGATGGCCATTTGCAACAGCGATTGTTGGACGGTTTCCTCAATGATAAAGAAGCGAGTCTAGGCGACCGAGATATGTTTCTTCAGATGGATGCTGAGGATATGAAGGACCGGGCGGGTAAACTACAATGAGGTCTTGGAGAGGATGAAAACAAGGTGGAGGCTTAAACAACATCAGGATGAGACAGCTGAAGTTCCTGGGACACGTAGTGAGAAAGGAGGGCCTGGAGAATCTGATACTCTCAGGTCGAATAGAGAGACAAGGGAAAGCAACGCGTGGCATACCTATGAGGCAAGT